CTGCATTGGTGTAATATTGTGTGTATTGGTATTCTTTGTGTATATAGTTAATTTTTCATTATATATTTATGTAAATGTATTTTTGCCATTGTAACCCAAATTTCCCCATGGGGATCAATAAAGTGTAACTTCTTTTAATAATTTTTGTTCTAATAAATTCAAACAAACTTTTTCTTCCCCCAGAGAAGGCAAAGGTGCTCAGCTGCTGACCAGCGCAGACGTCCAGGGGATGAGTGAGAGAGGAACCACAACCCTCAACCACCTACAGCAACTTTTTACCTACCACATGGTGCAGAACTTTGGCTGTGACTACTCCAGCAGTGGACTCGAACTCGATAATCTGCACAGCAAGGTTAGACGCATTTCCTTTCTTTGATTTTGGAAATTATAGCCTTGAAGGAGTAGACCGTGTTTTGAACTGAACTTACAATACTGTTATTAATGAGGCCAAGTGTGCTAGTATGACATTGTTCTGAGAATATTATTCAGAGTGTTGGACAAGAGAATGGAGTTTGATGAGGTGGACTTTTTTTTTTAACGACAATATTGTGAAGTGGCTTTTCTTCAAGTTTTATTTAACAGAAAGCCGACAGAATTTAGCTAGATCAGAATGGTTAAAACCAACCAATTTAAGTTTTTGCACACAGCAGACATTAAAATTCCCTGAAAATGGCTCAGTACAAAATTTCCAATGTCATGGCCAGCTAATTAGACCTTTCAAAAATGTTCAGTGCGACATTATTATTTAGTTGACTTCTCCCTTCACGTTCTTTCTTCTTTTGCCCTTCTTGTTTCTCTTCAGCCATATAATTTGTAATTTCTGCTGTGACATGGCAACTTTCCAGTGTTAATAAAGACATTATCGTGCATAACAATAAGTGTTTCTGTCTCACCGATGCTTAGTGGTTGGTTGTCAGGTGTTCTGGTGTGGTTTGCTCCTTTTTACCTATCAAACATCTTTTGCTTCTATCTCTCCTCCTTTTATTTGTAATTTGTATGTTACTGTCTAGTAACAAGTCTAATCTTTGGCCCATATAATGATATATGACCTTTTTGTGTTGCAAGTGCCGTAAAACCCTTACTACAACTTAACTTTGTAATCAATTCCTGCCGTGATACGGCAACTTTCTAGTATCAATAGAGACATTACCACCTTGCACACCAGTGTGTGTTTCTCTCTGACTTGATACTCAATGCTTGTTTGTTTCACGGCTCTAGTTGAAAGCGTTCTTTGAGCGGCGCACGTCAGACGGTCCCAGGTTCGACACCTACCTCCTGTACTACAGCGGCGACGTTTTTGACACCGGGGACTGGGCACTGTCAGGTACGTGCAATAAAGGCTGCTGTTGTCTTTTTTGGGGGGGATGATGTGACGATGCAACTGTCACTGCGTTTGTTTGTATCTTGTATACTCCTTCAGCTGAATATCTTTCCACAATGATCTCCATATT